ACTCACTATCCTTCGAAGCACGATATATATCTTTATATTGACTTAAAAAAATATTGGGATAGGTTCGTCAACTATTTGACGAATTTACTTTTGCAATACAATTAGTTGGAGTTTTTACAGTGTATTTGTCCAGCCATCTGTGAATTATATTGTTTATTTATTGTTGAAATATGTTTTGATCACCTTGAAAAAAGTTTACTCTAGGCAAATGAGAAATCAATTGGTAATAAGTTAGACAATTATTATTATGAAATGTGACACAATTTATGGACATATTTTTGTCAAAATTTTCTGATAAATAGAAAAGGTTCAATTTCATTTTATCATGGCTTGGGTAGATAGGAAGATATCGAAATTTTCATTTTTTATCCCAAAACCATTATTTTTAACACCTCGACACGTGTTTCGATCACCAAGTGATCATCTTCAAGACGAAGATTACATTAAATAAACATACAATAGATACCTCTGCTTACTACCGTCTTAATCATCTCTAATTTATTTTACAATGTGTCATGTAATAGTCAGGTATATCAACACGCTATATAGTATACTATTAGGTATTGTTCCAACATCGTTATTCATAATATTATTATGTTCACTTATCTCTACACTCTCGTAGGTATCTCCGAGGAAGTCTTTGATAATATAAATGCTAGTGTTGAAAGTTCGATTCAATATATTCAAAATATCAAAGTAGTAATTCTGAATAAATCGAACTACCAAGAAAGAGTCAATACTCTCATCACTAACGGACCGTATGCGAAATTGTCTACGGACCCGTTACCAAAGATGATTGCCGGAGTAAAAGACGTCCTTAAGAAATGCCACAACATACTTACCCCTCAACTGAAATGGTACTTACAACTTTCCAACTAAACGGTGTCAAAACTATATTGCATCCCAAAAATCCACAATCGGGGAAAATCAATGCGACCCATCGTGTCAGCTATTGAATCTCCTACCTACCAAATTGAAGGCGTGTATATTGCGAAACCAGGTTTTAGTATAAAAACCTCCTTAGAGTTGATACAAAATACAAATAACAACGTTCTGCAAGGAGGTGAGATTTTGGTTTCCTTTGATATCAGTTCTTTATTTCCTAGCGTTCCAATTCCACAGACCTTACAATACCTCAAGAGATTACTAGAGAAAAATAATTTCAATAATAATGAAATTGATGAATTCGTTTCTCTCAATAATTTGTGTATGAAACAAAATCGTTTCCAGGTAGAAGATTGCTTTCATGAACAACAGGAGGGAACGGCTATGGGTAACCCCTTGTCCTTCTACCTGGCAAACCTGTTCATGAGCAGATTCGAAATGGAAACCAAAGAAAAGTCAAAGTATTTTCCTAGGATATGGCTGAGGCATGTGGATGATGTTTTTGTGATATTCGATAACAATAAATTGAATATTGAGGAGTTTGTTTCCTTTTTAAATATCAGATTTCCATCAGTAAAATTCACGTATGAGTCAGAAAATGAAGGAAAACTTCCATTTCTTGACGTTTTGGTAATGAGAGGCCGATATGGAAGGATAGAATTCGATGTATTTAGGAAGGAAACAAGCACTTTCAGGTATATTCCTGACAGTTTACATCACTGTAGACAGCACAAACGTGCTGGGCTGAATTTTCTAGTGCATCGCTTTTTGACTTTTTCTCTCATACATGAGAGATTCACAAAAGGAAAACGGACAATACAGGAAATAGCAGTCAGTAACGATTTCTCGAGGGGTATTTTAAATGATATTATAGGGAAGAAAAAGTTTAGGTTAAGAATGAATGAAATCTCGACTATTAGAAACGACGAAATCCAAGATAAATATATCTCAGTTCCATACCACCAATACCTACACGAGGAGTTTCAGTCCATTGAGGTTAGTTAGACAAGTTGATAACGGCAGTCATCTAGATGCCTGCGAGATTGTAGAAATACGTTAACATAATAATATCACGAATAACGATGGTGGACCAATACCTAATAGAATACTATATGGCTTGTTGAAATAACATTTTTATTATCAGATTTACCTGACTATTACATAAGGACACATTGCAGGTATATAACAGAGGTATCTATGGTTCTAATAAGGAAAATGTTGTATATTTAGTATAATCTTCCTCTTGAAGATGATCACTTGGTGATCGAAACACATATCGAGGTGTTGAAATAACAGTTTGGTGTGAAGAGAAAACTACAGAAATATTTATAAATTTGATGCCGAATTTTCAATAATCCGTCATAGCTCTGACAGTTACGTTATTTAAATCTTTATACCTACAATGCATGTACATTATGATAGGAATGACGAAGTTTCGAAAAATGGTAAAAAGTATAGGTACTTTTTGGAGGAATTTCATGACTAACAAAAAAGTTGTTCAAATCTTATTTGGATATCCGATTTGCCCCGACCCAGAAGTTCTTTTTCACGGTAAAATATAATAGAACTAGTCAAAAATTTAACACGCTGCAATTTTATCAGTAGAAATTTCTTTGATTTGGACAGAAATGTTACAAATAGTGAATTGAAACTTGTGCTCTAGACTGGAAAATAAATAATGACATCCAACATTAATTTTACATTTGCGAGCACATATTCTTTTTTTACATCGATTAACTGAAAAGAGCAAAACTTTTCAAGGCAACTTCATGAGTTTCAGTTTCTCACTTGAATTTAAGACAAGGTAATGTCTTTCAATGAAATGAAAACAAAAAGCTTTCACACATTGTTTTTATCGAAATAAAAGACACTGGTTCATTATGTAATGGTTCCACGCCTTAAGTAAATATAGGGGATTATATTAATAACAGAAAGGAATGAACTCCTGGAAATTTCATCAATATCGCGAGAAGTTTTACGTTTTCATGTACAAAATTTCTTTGTTTACGGCTTTTTCAAGTAGCCGCCCTTTTTCATTCATCCACTTATATTCCTGGAATAGGCTTGAAAGCACAAAGAACGTTTAGAATTGCAGCCACAATGGGTTGGAGTCGAATAGAAATTTCGAAGTCAGTGTCCACGAAAGTTATTGATTTTCTTATTGAAATAGAAAAATTATTGAGATAACGAGAACGAGTCCTTATACCCACCCATACTAGGAATCGCATGTAAAAAGGTAAGAGCTTTACTTCTCAGCTTGCACAAGTTTCATCTTTCGAGGGTTGCGCATTGAAACGATAACTGGTAGAAGGAAAAAACAAACTTTTTTCCGGCTGTATCAAGCAGTCGCCAAAACGTTAAATATTTGAATGGATGATCGATGCTTGGACGGAATTTTGTGCCCTATTCTCGGTAGTTTGAACAAGCGTTGTCTCTACGTACAAGTTTCAAGGATTCAGAAGGAAAATAAAAAAAATGCAAGAAGATTAAAAGACCAAATTATTTTCTGATAAATAATTGCATCGGTTGCAGATTGAATCTATAAGCTACATTTCCTCAAAGGTATTTCATCATATTTGCGTTATTCATCAAGATATGAGTCAAAAAATAGCAAAAAACGTGAAAATTGCCTAATATTTTTGTAAACGAATGCAAATAACATTTGTTGAAAAACTCATTTGAAAGACATCAATTATCTATGAAAATGTATTCAGTGTTTATTTTCATATATTTAATAGTTTCAAAGTTTACAAATCGAGTGGTTCGTGAAACTTTTGTTGTAATTGTTAGTACTTTAAGAAAAAATATAAAGTGGTTGGGAATTGTTTAATTGACAAACAATAAAATGATCAATAAAAAAAATATGTTTTTTGTTAATTGGCAGAGGAATGTCAATTTTGATTTTTGAAATTTCTCAACCCATTATTCGAAATATAAAAAAATTATCAGAAACAATTAAGAATTGTTGTTGAGAATTTTTTTTCAAAATATCATTATATTATGAAGATAACAAAATTATAAAAATATGTAAAAATACTCAGATAATCTATTTGTTCCTGAACAATTTATTAATAAATGGCACTAAAAATGTTTTGTTCCACTTACCGAATCTCTATTAGGAATCACACGATGAAAGGTAAGACCTCGTTAGTCCTTAGTCCTTTCTAGATATCATTTTGGATCGAATGAGTTGGTTATCAGTTGGTTATCAATATCAGATGAGTTCAATAATTCAACGCCAATCATTTATTCACGATATTGAATTTATGAATAATCTGAATATTTCCAAAAACTGTGAATTCTTGAAGACTAATTAATTGCAGTCGAAGTAATGAACGCAAAACTTCTATATAAGATGAAACATTTATTATTGTAACTGGCAATATCAATATATTCCACAAAAGCTCTTTCTGTATTATTTTATCAACAATTAGTTCGTTTCAAACAACGTAATAGATGAAAACATTGAAAATATCAATGAGTATATCAATAGTAACGGTGAGAAATCAGGTTTGTTCTTTGTGGGACAGTTGAGTGGCTTAGCTTAGTACCACTGATGATACCTTGGCATGTCAAAACATTGTTGTCTGGTGTTAGATCAAATGTATCAATGATTTTATTACAAAAAAATGAATTCTCCCGCACAATCCCATTTTCTGACATAACTTTAGGGGTCAGGTTTCAGAAATTGTTTTCGTTATGATATTAGCACGTTGAAATTGAGTTGGTACCTACTTTCTCATGTGTTATCGTTCTCCAGTGAAAAACTCTTTGACAAAAAATATCTATTTTAATTTTAATTATTTTATTTTGCATTTTTAATTGGTAATTTTCAGAAATACTCGTTTTAGGCAGATGGTACAATCAACTCCTTTTCCTGACGAGAAAGTGACGAGATCAATCATAAAAAAAGCATTTTTGCAATAAACTTGGCGAGAGAGCAAAATTCTAGGAAATTGTTTTTGAAAACATTGCAAATTATCCTTATTCGTTTTATTGAAACATATTAACATGTTATCAGTTGCAACAGTAGAAATATTAGCACGAAGCTGATAAAATCTATTTGATGAGGATTGTGGCAGTTCAGTTTCATTTCATTCTTGTTTACCCATGTCGTGGGTTATTGTTCGTTCACTTTTCATTTCGAAGAAAGCGCGGCAGTCGTGAAGTGTGACAGTTCGATGTAGACTGTGAAACCGATATTTCCTTTGTAGGATATTTATAGGACTTTCAATTCAAAATGTTTTGTGGAAGCATGTTGTCTTACAGAAGATTGTAAGTGTATTTATTATACATAAAACATCATTTATAATGAAATATCAGTTTTATAGCAAATTAGAAGTCAGTGGGCATGGAAGCTACCAGAAATTTCGAAAATTATTTTTTGAATTTGATAAAACTATCCTCTTCAATATCATGATACTAAAACCGCACTTGTATCCTTCGTCATCTGCATCCCCCGTCATGTTTGTCTGTCTGGACACGATAAACTAAGAAACTAAAGAATGGATTTTCATACGGTTTTCACTAATGGAAAAAGTTATTCATGACGAAGGTTTATGTGTTAATTTCGTTCATAATCGAAACAATTCATCATATAGTGTTCTCATGTCACAGGTATACAACAAATTCGCATTTGCTCCAGTCACCTTAGTCAAAATTAGGTGTGTATTTCGGAATTATAGATACCCAGCTATAAACTCGTATAAACTTGTATTCTGATATCCTAAAAGTTATATAGTAGGGTGTACGCGGCTATTAAAATCCAAGGTCAAAAATCACAAAAAACGATTTTTGGCACATTTTTTGCAAATATCTCGTTTCCTATGGGTTTTTTGCTATTTATATTCATTAATAATATTGTAGAGGAATAAACGTCCTACAACTTTTGTTTAAAACATTTTTTCAGACGTTCAATCGTGTTCAAGGTAGAGGGTGGAGAGCGCGCGGTTATATCATCATTCAAGGTCAACCGGTAGTCCTGCTCAATATTACTACCAAACACATTTTTGTTTCATGTCATCATAAAAAAGTTATCGTTGAAGAATTGAATGCAGGTCGTTGGTGTGATAGACTTGATCGTTAGTTTTGACACCACCGTTAGATATTGAAAGTAATTGCGAACTGTTGATAGTGCTTTGGTCATTTGGACGCAAAGGTAATGTTGAAACAAAACTACATTCTTCCAAAAGCTTTGATAAGTATCCTCGCTCGAAAAAAATATTTTTTTTCTGCTGCTATATTACTTATGCGTTTTTTATAAAAGAAATAAACGTTTATGAAATTATTTGGGAAACTGCCGAATTTGGATCAACATGCAGCAGCATTTGAAGAAGGATTATTTGAGAATGAAGTTCAAATCTTGTTGTCAGTCTATAATGCTTCAAAATTTGTGGACAGTATCGATCATCTTCGTTATGCACAATACGTCAAGTCTACAAAACTGAATAAACCTGTGCAGTTATCAAATATTCCACCAGCAAGTGCAGCGGCTCACCAACATTTCAATCGTGTTTATTATCAAGTTCAAACTTGGTTAAGGCTTGATTTGAAACACCAGGAATGGGGTTGGACAATGGTTCTAATCCTGGAACCCATCACGAAAATTTCAGCACCTGCTCCAGAGGAATTGCTCAGCACAATATTCTTTGACTGCAAGAGTGGTTGTGGTTCGCGATGTGGATGCAGGAAATCGGGGTTGCAGTGCTCTTCAGCTTGTGGTCAGAGTAATGGGCAAACTTGTCTCATTGCTTTACTATATCAGAGCGATGTCCTGAAGATGTAAGACCTGAAGACAAACGTGATTGAAGACGATAAAGAAGAAGACTATGATGTGTTTTTGACGGGGACTAGTGGATGACTTTGAATGATGCTTTAACAACGCACATTGATGCAAAAACCACATTCATACCTGGTTCCTTGAAAATCTTTTCTAAATTCTTCGTGTATTGGTGGTATGGAACTGAAATATATTTTAATCTGAAAAATATAAAAATTGTAATTGATTTGATTTGATTCTTGTTGAATGATAGTTTTTCCTTTTTGATGTATATGACGTTTCGTCCTCGGTTGAAGACTTTTTCAATTTATTTTCTTATCTTCGAGCTACAATGGAAATTGTTTGTTAGTGGTAGTTTTATAATAACCTTATGATACGTACCTATATTTATCCATATAGATATGTTATTTTGTTTATTTGTTTATATTGCATTTATATTGTATATAACCAATGTTTTTTAGGAAATGCGACTTTCAAAAGTTTTTATGTTTATGATAGGACTCTAGATATTTTTATCAATCTACTAGCTTATATTCTGATTTCATGCACTTGACTATGTTTCTTTCTCAAAATGTTCATCAAAGCTTTGTCAATAAGAGATTTTCTTTGGACAATAAAACATATTTATTATCATTATTATAAACATTTTCTTCCTTATTATATCAACTACAATAACTAAATGAGAAAAGACATGTTCACATAATTTAATGTTCATATGAAAGTAGTTTTTTCGAAAGGGCTTTTTCTTTCTGTTTGTATCTAAAATATATTGCTATGCATGATTCACACATCTTTATAAATAACGTCATTGCTTTCTTTATTCAGTTCTACATATTTTTTTGTATAAAGATGTAGAAGTTGAATGCCGAACAATTTTTTACCCAAAAACTTGTCTGTTCTGAAAAAATGTGCGTCTTTCAAATAAGTTGTTTCAGTTCCTATAATAAATACATTGCAGATATAATTTTTTCTGTAAATACTCTCCAGCTCCTTCCTTGATCTTGCCTACATCCCACGATAAAAAATATCTAAATAACTCTGCACTTTCACCGACACACCTTGATCATGCAGATTGCTGCAACTGAGACAGAGCATGTTTCGTTTCTGTGCATGGAACTGGTGGGAACTTCCACCATATGTTTCTATACTCGACTCTTTGTGCTGTAAGATCATTAACCCTTGCTTCTGATTCATTCGTACCAGGCGGACGTTTTTCAATCAACAATTAATTGCATTCAGTCGCATTCATTTCAAACGTCTAACCTCATATGGCAAAGTGAAAAAGAAATAATGTTTTGTACTTTTTTATATTTTTTTACAATTCTGTTTGCACTTTCAGGGAGTGATTCGGTGTATGTATGTGTGGTGGGGAATATTCCTCAATTGTTTACGAACGGTTTTATCACGCAAAGTGAACATATTGAACAATATGAATGTAAATATTCGAGATGTAAATTGAAATCTTCAAAAACATTTTACTTTTCACATATGTATAGGTATTTGAAAACCAATAAAAGTGAGATGGTATACTCGAAATATGCTTCAGCTGTCGTTTATGATAAAGTGAAGTCTATACTGAAGATTTTTGATAAACATGTCTCAAACAAAAGTATGTTTACAACTATCTCTGTAAATAGTAATGAGTGTCGTAGCTAGTATAGGATTTCTATAATACTTTACCAGATCCATCATATTTTTGTATCCCAAAGGGGTCCCAAACAAGTCCCAAACAAAAGATTTTATGAGCTTTCGGGTAGTTTCATACCTGCAGTGGCGTGCGTATTCAATGAAAAATACTCGTTGAACATAATAACTGTGTTTTTATTTATATGCACTCGGCCTGAAGACTCGTGGTTCAATCATGCTGGTTACTCCCATGGTATTGCTAAATAACAAAGTTTTCGTTAAACAATGGAAATTCATTGATAACATTTTGAGGTCTTCTGGTATAACTTTCTTCACGTATAGTACATGAGCATACTTGAAGACTGGCTGTAAATCAAATTATCTAAAAAAAATTGTTTAGGCCAGTCACAATTCACCTACATTGTAGGTTAATGGAGACCTGTTAGAAAACAACTACTCCCCTGGCTAATACCACGTTGGATTGTATCCGGCAGGTGTTAGTGCAGGATTCTTCACAGAATAAATTCCTGCATATGCTGTTGTCGATGATACAACTGCCGCAATAGATTTTCAATTGTTGGAACGGGAACACTTGCAGACTGGATTTGGGCTATTTGGCTTCTCGTCAGTGTCCAAATAGCCCGTAACCGGTCTTTCGGGCTATTTGGTTGGCCTACCTTTCACTAACGAGAGGTCAAATAACCCAAAACTGGTCTTCAAGCGATTGTATCGCCAAAAGCATAACCAGGAATTGCTTCTGTGAATTATCCTGCACTGAAACCTGTCGGATATAATACAACGCCTTTGTGGTATTAGCCAGGGAAGTAGTTGTTTTCTGAGTCTCAATACACCTACAGTGTATGTGAGTTGAGACTGGCTTGAAGGAATTCTGTAGAAAAATCTGTTTTTCGGTTAACCAGCTGTCGCCCCATTACGAACGACAACTCTCAGAAGTCGAAACTTGTGCAAGCTAAAGACTAACGAGGTCTTACCTGTCAACGTGTGATTCCTAATTGTTCATTTAGATAATTTGGATTTCATTAGTTAGGACTTTCATTGTCTTATATTATATGAAATGATTTGAAATCCCTGAAAGAACTAATGAAAAAGAAGAATTAAAAAAAATAGCCGAAAATAACCATTATATTGAGCAAAAAACCCTTAGATGAAAAAACAGTGAAATGAAATACAATTAAAAATAGACCAATTGAACAAAAAATTGAAAATTAAGAGATTCCAAATCAAGTTGCTTCACGACGTTTCGATTGATAGTATCGTCTTCGGGTGATGACTGGGCTGATTCCTCCGAGAGATGACTATTTATGGATCATTTGAGTACTTTCACTTATCTCCGCTTTCCTTTTTCCGCTTCACCGGTTTAGTGGGAAATGACCTTTTCGCGAGAGTTGGTCATTTTCTGCTTGAATATGGGTTTCCATATGTTGAGTATATCTACGCTAGCTTGGCGGTTTTTGTAAAACCCTTTTATAGTGAAAATCATACAATAAACGTATTGATTAGTTTTTTAATATGGATTTTCATCAAGTATCGGACAATTCTATTCAATTATTGGCTGAATACATTGTTGGACAACATTTATGCGGCTTCTTTGAATTCCCTCCTAAACCAGAGTTCCTCCCTGTGGATGATGTCAGCTTGAGACCACCCGATGTTATGTTGATGGGTCCAAACAAGCTCTGATATTCCTGATTTGCTAGTTTTTCCTCGCTGTGTGTGTTTGTTGTGCTCGGCAATGCGAACTTTCAGTAGCCTCTTAATTTCATCGATATAGGAGTTTTCGCACTCACAGGGTATCCGGTAAATGCAATTCTTGAAATCGCAGTCCGCGATTCCAACAATTGCCTGGTTT